TCCTGACTAAACCATGGGAAATCTAGGATTATGAATATTTTTTTCGTTATCTATGGCCAAAAATCAACCAAATACCAGTACTCCCAGTCCTAGGAAAAATTCATGCAGTTGAGGGTTAAGAGATTTGCTTTTGTCTAATTTACATTCCTAAACACATATTCAATGACTTTTAAATATGCACAAATAATTTTCTTCTGTCGAATCATCAGACTTTTAGTGGAAATGTATTCATGAATCGCGAATGTTGCAGTCAAAATAAGACAACTGTTCATGAAAAGTTTGATGCGTTTTTTAACAAAGCGGTTAGTAATGAATTAGTTTCTTATCTCATCGAAGACATTGTAGACGGTGAAGACCGGGTAATTCAAATAGTAATGAAACGGTAGAAAAAGAGTATCTAAATTCAATTTAGTAAATTGTTTTGCAAACGGTTTTCAATTTTATTTCGAACTTTTGTATGCAATTTTAAAACTAGATTCTTGGAAAAGAGTAAAGATCACCCATTAAAAACCACTTCAATGTAGTTCAATTTCAAATCTGTTATTCTTTTTCGCGTACTCGAACAAAGTGTCCAATGAACGTCGAATAGAAGTCAGATAACAACAATAAGGACAAAATATGAAAATTTTGAACAATCGACAATATGTTTACGACGATTTTCGATGTATACTGATGATGATAATTTATTGTTACAATAAATCTGTATAAATTATCTTGTGTATAAATTGAGTGACGACTTTTGCAGTCCCAAATTTCCAAATTAAACGCGTAACAGTTAACGCTTCACATAGCCTTTGTCCCTTTGGAAACGTTTACCAAAGGTTATTTTGGACCGTTTGCTATCGGACTAATATCAAGCATTTCCATCTTGGTTGGATGACTGTGTTTTTGTTTTCATGTCCTACTTGTGTAAATGCAAAAAGTTTACGAAAATAGCCAGGTTTTTAACGAGTCGAGAACTAATAGTTATTGTTATTATTAATCATTGTAAGCAAATAACAATTGATGTAACAGTCTTGCACTCTTTTCCGGCCACATTCTATTATAATATATTCAACCAGAGCTTAGCTGTGTTAAATAAAAATAAAAATAAAAAAAAATTGTTTAAAAATAAACATGTCGATTTTAAAAACAGAAATGTTGATAATTCACCTGAAAAACATTCTCATTTACTTTTCCAAGATTTTGTCCTGTGTTTTAATAAGTAAACGGCACATTTTGTCCTCAGCTCTATGTATTAGTGAGCTGTGTATAGCAAGCAATGTATTACACATAACGTAAATTTAGTTGTAATTAGCGTAAACGAAGCAACCTATGTTGCCTATTCTACTCTAGGTGTTACCAGTGTGCAGCATTAGTGAGAACACCGCTCAGAAGTGACTATGTGTGAGAAGCAAGGACGAGAAGTATATCATGAGCCTAATTGTTTAATTACAGTTGTAGGAAATTGCAGCAATTATAACTGTGATTAAATTCCAGAAAATGAGAATTGTCGTAATTTTCTATAATGTATCAATTTTATCACGAACGTGTTTACTTTGAAAGTGAGTTTTGCTCTTGTTCTGTGCCTGATAAAAGTAGTATCAATCTTGGTCTCTTAGCGATTTGGACGTTTCTCATCGGGAAGGTTCTTCTCTAGGTTTCGTCTCGTTGTTGTTATTCATTGAGCAATTCAAAAATTTACAATCATAATAAGAATTTTTGAGGAAAAAAATTCATTTCCCTTTTACAAAATTAATTTGTTAGACATAAGTGTTTGAAAACATCAAAGTTGATTAGATTACGTTGTGACTTTCTAAATGAGACCTTTAGCAACAAATAACCTGGTTTTGGAGTGGCTGTATCTATGTACCCCCGCTGAAGAAACCAGCAAATGGAAAAGACTTGCCAGTTCATTTTTCGGTTTGATCACTTTTGCGTCAACTTTAAGCGGCATGTTGGCAAGTGTGGCTTTCGCGTGGAAATATATTTCAATAGATTTGGAAGAGACGTTGTATGCTCTTTGTCAAATCATTGGCTTTGGTAGCATCACGTATGCCATTATAGTGATTTTTTTCCAACGCCACAGTATGCGAGAAATATTCCAAGGCTTGTCTAAAATCTACACTGCAAGTGAGATTCAATGTATTTAGTAATAAATTGAAACCGATTTCAGTGCATATTTTTTCTTCGAATTTAGACGAAAGTGACGAATCTTTCCAGTTCATTGAAAATGCCAACAAGAAAAGTGAATTTTTGTGGCGCGCTTATGCTGTAATCAAAATTGCTGTAGTGATGACAATGGGATCGATGCCTTTAACTTCAGTGGTTCTTTGGATGATCAATGAACATTTCGATGCAAAACATGTGTTTCATCCTTTTAAACTTATGTAAGTCTTTCGATTCGAATGATTTTTACGTCTCTCCCCTGTAAATTGTTGAATATTTTCCCTACTCTGTTTATAAATTCGACTGAAACCCAATTGGCAAGGCTTAATTAATATATTCGGTTTATTTCAGTCTACCTTGGAACCAATCGACACCGCTTGGATATTTTGCTGAAATATTCTTCATTCTTATCACCACCTTAGCTTACATGGTGGCCAATGGATCTCTTATTCTGCTATTCATTTCCATGTATTTGCATCATAGCGCATTTTACAAACGATTCCAATATACTGTACAAAAATTCAACTCTAGTGATCAATTTTTCGATAATAAACAATGTTTGTGTGACTTGATCGCTTTTCAAATCGGTGCAAAAGAGTAAGATTGATTTGAAACTGAGGGGAATTATGAAGGAATATTTTTTTTCATTTTTACGATTCTCCAGTTGGTTTTCTAAAACCCGTGATGTGTACGGTCCATTCATTCTGATTCAACTATTCAGCAGCACGCTCTGGTTGGCTTGTTCTATTTTTCATCTCGATTTGGTAAAAAATCTCAATATTGTCATAACGATATAAGATTCTATTGATTAAGTACTTTCAGCAACTCAAACACATTGATTCCGATCTGACCGTTGTTATGATTTCATGTGGTGTGAGTTTATCAAATCTATTTCTCAATTGTCTCTTCGGGGAATTGGCCATGGAAAGCTACATGAAAATGTCTGACTGTTTGTATGAGTCTAATTGGCTCGAACTCAATACTAATTTCAAGAAGTATCTCGTTCTGATGATTGCAAACACTCAGCGACCGATTTTCTATCATGGATTCGGAATTACCTATTTGAAACTGGAAACATTTATTAAAGTACGATTCATATTTTCCTCATTTATTTTCATCTTCGATCTTTATTTTTTTCGATTTTTTTCTTCTTTTAGTTGCTCAAGACAGTTGGCTCCTATTACATGTTGTTCAAGACATTAGTCTCTAAATGAATGTCGTTATATTCATGAAGATAGTGGAAAGCACACGTTTAGTTTTAGTTCTCTTATGTGTTAACCCTTATCCGCTGTTCCAATAAAATCACGTATCCGTTGCTACAGTGTCAATTTGACACTAAATGAAAATCTTCGAATGTTTATTATTTCTACAACTAATACAAAGATAATCGTATTTGATGTCGTTGTTATAATTTGTTAGTGCGATTTGAATGTCTTGGAAAACATAAAAAAAAATTGATAAACTACGCCACACTATATATGATATATAATAAAGTAATCGAAGACAAACGATTATTATAAGTAAATTAATGTGATTTTGCTTCATATTTGGCTTACTTGTAGCAATAAGCATGTGTCTATAAGGTATCTTGTACACCAACATGGGACCAAACTATACAATTACAACAACAATAACACGTATTGCACCACTATTTTCAAGCTAACCGTTCCGTCATTTTATCGGTCAATTGGAGATATTTCCCCCGATCCAATTGATCAAAGTGATTCAGTGAGCCATTGTGATGTTTCTTTTCAATCATTTAGCACAGCCATAACATATTTTCCATATGCATATTCATATGTGTGTCGGACACTCTTCGTGTGTAGTAGTGTCAATTTGACACTAACAGCGTTAATGTGAACCATAATGAATAGCTCGAAAACACAATTAAATTTGAAAATAGTGTCAAATTGACACTTCCAGTGGACGCGGGTTAAATACCCTTCTATGTAGTGTTGAACTATTTTTCATTGATCATTTAATCCCTACACAAATTACCTTTTACCCAATTTCTTTTTAAATGTATCCATCAATTTTTAGAATAAACAGTTGAGAAATCATCTGATTGCGCTATTATACAAAGAGACTCAGTATAGTATAATAATTGAAAAGCATTCTTAAGCTTTCACTTTGCATTAAACTTCATTGAACCTGTTGAAATATCCCTGACATCCAATTTGAATCTAATATCATATCGACCTGGAACATTTTGTGAGGTAAACTTCTCCCATGACTCACATTTTCTCCACTTACTACTTACTAGTATTCTTATCTTCAAAATTAATTATGGGAAGAATGGTTGAAATTTTTGGTACAATGGATTTTTTTTCTTCGCAAAAATAAACCAAAATTAAAATATTTTTTTTCCAGACAAAATTTGTTTGGATTTGAATCTAATATTACCAATAAATGTCCCTCCTTAACTATCAAACTACATACCACAAAAAACAGTTTTATTCCAATGCACTTTACAACGGTCGATTCATAGTCGATTCAAATCAAAATTGTGCCAAATTTATGTTTTATATGGCGTCCCCACTTGGGAAATGTAAGCTCAGTTTTATATTTTTTCTGCATTATTCTATGGAGCGTTGAAATTTTTTGTTGTTTCAGTTAATAAGTGAGTGTCGATATAAATTTTGTACAATATTCCAATAAATATCAAACATATTTTAACATTTCACAATTTTTGAATCAGAAATGATGATTTTCCTTTGCAAATGTATACATTTGAGTATTTTGAGTGACTAAATCTTGATTTTCCATTGCCATCGAAAAATCATCCCTTTCAACAACAACGGTCAACATTTCCACCGGTTTGGATCGGGCAACTCAGATGTCAAAAAGAAATTAGGTCACAAGTGAAAGTGACACAGGATACGTGTGAAATCAATATTAAATTAAATAAAGCGGTTTTCATCTAAAATCCGTGCAAATGAATAGTTCGTTGGGGGTTGAAAAAGATGACGATTTGATCATAGTGCATTTACCTAAAACTTAAATCTAAAATTAACAATTCGGAAGCGATTCAACTTTGAATGGTACATTGATTTGTTGCAATCAAACATACTCGCGGATCTTAGTTCCCAAATATAATTGCTTACAATTCGATGAAAACAATCAGAAGTATGGGTAAAATTCCTCGATTTTGCTGGAAATCGGTAAACAAAATGACGAGACAGTTTTGAACGGAAATCAGTGTGCTATCTATCGCTGTGTGATTTTTTTTAAGGAAGCTCACCAAAATAAGCGCCAATAGGAATAGAATTGATATCAGTCGACTGCTTTCTCGAAAAAATGTCATCGAATCGTGTTGTTCTGTGTTGTAGGAACGCGAGCGAGAGGGGAAAAAACTTCGAATCATTGAAATGATTGTTTTTGCATTAAAATTCATTGAAATAGAGAATTTGTCATATCTAATCCATATGAATTGGATCGTTCGAATGGAATCATATGTAAATTGCACGGTTGAAACGAATCCAAGCAGAATAATGAATGGATTGAGTGCAAGCGACTGTAATTTATGACTTTGTTAGATGCGATGTTTAATTTTTTTATATAAAAGTATAAATCGATCAATTTATTAAACGTGATTGAGTAGCATGTGTATTAAAATTGAGCCATTCAAATTACAGTGGCTGACTGGCATGTTCCCGCTTTTTCCCAGAACGGAAAAAAAACAAATGGGCAAAAACGATACGGCAATTGCTTTGGATACGATAGCTACGTTCCGTCCGGTCAACCGATCTAAATGGGCGCATGAGTGTTGATTTGTTTTTTTTCTAGACAACAAACTGGACCCGATGCTATACGTCGAGAAAGAGACTACGCAATCAGCTTATACATAACACGGCGCACAGCGCAGCGCAGCCGTTTCGCCAGCATATTTCCTGATTATGCTGCTAAGTAAAGCCGATAAAGACTGTGTGTATGTGTGTGTATGTGTGTGTGTGTGTGTGTATACTAGCGCGCTCAGCTGAAATAATATTTACAGCAACAACATCAGCATGACGTTTGAGCGTTGCGATCGCGTCTGCTGTTCGCATGGTTGGTTAAATGCGTTGTTATTTGCTTAGTGCACAACGTAGATTGAGATTTGGCGTTTGTGCGTTCGTTCGTTCGTTTTTTCGTGCATTCAATGTTGCGAGCGGTCGCAACAGCACCGGCAACACACCAACTAGAATATTGTGTTGTTCACTTTTATTTGGTCGAACGCTTTGAATTTTCGATTAGTTTGTAGTAGGCTCTCGTGGACAACAGACCTATTTCAATTCAGTTTTCTCTCTCTCACTGCTCTATCCAAATATTGTGTTTATTGTGTTGAAAAAGAGAATAAGAATTGTTTTATTATCTGCTTATTTTTTGTTTTGTTCGTTGCATTGACTTAGAACTATTTCGTCTTTGTGTTCGTCATTAGAAAGAAAAAAGACCGAGTTATTACTTTTTTCGCGTGTCATATTTTGCAAGAAATCAACAGCGTACGTGTTTTAAAAGTAAGACAAATAGAAATTGTTTCCAACTCATATATTTATTTTTTATTTGCTGCATTGCAAATAGCACTAATGTATAATTCAAACGAAGTCGAGGTGAAACAAAGAACCTTTTGCATAATCGTCCAACCAGTGAATCATATGTTTCTTGTGAATGCTTGAAAACAGACTTTCTGATCGATTAACTTCACACACATTTTGATACGGCGATTTTTTTCCATTTGTTTTCTTCAATTACGATAAATGATCATCTATGAGTCAGAAAGAGGTTTTTTTTTCGAACCGAAGAAAAGAAAGAAACTTAGTTGTTGGAATGAAATTTATCTCTTGAAATATGTTCTTCTGAGAATGTTATCATTGTGTGAGGCTGCAATAAAGTCCATTAATTCATAGTATGTTGCTTCTAAAATTGACTCATTCACTGACCTCAATGTGATAGTCTCACTGAACAGTTCCGTTGGACACTGTCTCTTTGGACATATCTGAATAAAACCGGTACAATAAAAAGCGATGAAAGATATTTACAATGCTAATTCATCGGAAAGAAAAGAAAGAAGAAGGGGGAAAAGGAACGCAAATTGTCGTCACGCCGTTCGATTTTAGCGATCAATGCTCTGATGAGCCATTAGTCCAATGGAAAATACAGACGATTCCCATTTTTATGGTCTCGGTTTTGATCATTCCATCGGAATATTTATTGATCTAGTCTCTGATTCATTCTCAAAATTTCTCCAAACGATAGACAGAATAACACCAAACCGCACGGGGGAAAAAACGAATCGAACAAAAATAACAATTCTTCGACCAAAGGTTCATCGATGACCGTTATCGGTCAAACTCATCGGCATTTGCATAAAAAACGGAAATTTGAATCACGAAATGATTAAGCAATTTTTCTGTATTTCAAGAAGTTTCTCTACCGTTTTTTTTTCGTCAACACTTTTCGTAAATAAACACCGAAATTGAACTGGTGTGCTAATGGCGACGATAGGGTATGCTTTGCGCATGCGCTTATTTAATCAGACAAATTAAAAATGCTAATTTCCAAATGCACTCTGAGCGTTGTTAATACAATTACGCCGCTTGTTTTTGTTTGCATCACTATGGATCCTGGAGCGAAACCATTTTTCTGCAAGATCAATTGACGCCAATCGAAAAGATTCCACTGTAATTCGATTGGTGGTTGCAACAAGTTGAATAAATTATTTAATTCCAAGACTAGCACTTGCAAAGAAAAAAAAATTAGAAATATAAAAAAGATTAAAACCGCATTCAAGTGTTCATTCGATTCCGTTTCCCTGGGTGGGTATGGAATATAATTTGAAATCCAGTTTTGCACATACAGCTCTGTAATTAAATTCTGCAATCACATTCCTATTTTAATCGACTAGTTTTCATTGAGAATTTTTCAGCTCTAGATCTTCGTTTGTGAAATGCATTTTTCCCGGGCATTTTCACTTTACACCCAGAATCCCCTTGAGAAAGTGGCATACTTGCACTGTGCACTGATACGGTAACAATAGATTTTTCCTCCGCGTACCGCAACACATTTCCTAATTCTTTTCAATTTAAAATTCATTTTCGATGTGTGCTTTGTGTGCCATATGGTGAACACACTCGAGACTTGAATGAAAACCGAAAACAGATAGATAACACAAAAACTCTGAGCCAGCACAACGCTTAAATTGCTTATGCATAGAGTATTGCATAAACATCAGCAGCAGCAGCAGTAGTAACAACTCTCACTCAATGCATTCGAAAAACCACAACAAACCAAATACACGCGTTTACTTTCCACATTTGGCCAAGTACTGCTACGCGTGTACGATGTTTATGATTTGTGTGCTTTTTGTTGTGTATTGCGTGCTCCAAACGAAGAACGACGTAGTAATATATTATTTCTACTGTTTTTTTTCATCGTCATATACACAATGAAAATCGTTGTTTATTCCACGGAAATCCACATGGAACGTGATTTCTTTGGCCCTTGATATGTTTTTGATTGTGGATGGATCCATGCGGCGAAATAATGTTGGTGTTGTGGCAAATGAAAATTTAATTGAAAGCACTCGCTTATTGCTCGATAGTTTTAGATTTTGAGATGCGAGAGCAAGAGAGAGAGAGAGAGAGAGAGATGGAATTTCAACATAGTTTGTAGCCTTCAAACTACATTTTGATACATACACTTGTACCACACATTTTGCGCCAGCAATTGGGTTTTTGTTTATCTTTCCCAATGAGACGCAAATTCATCTGAACAATAAAATGTTTCCAAATGACGAAACCACAACCATTTAAACTCTTATTTAGTTCATTGATTGAAAATAAAGAGTTTTAAGGTATTATTGAAGTGCAAAAATTCCCTGGAAATGACGAAATTTCACATGCCAAACCATAAAAGTTGCGATAAATATATTTTCTTTCTGCCAAAACCTTCAGTGTCAAAAAATTTATTGTTTTTTCTTTTGATTTATTGAACAAAAAAAAAATGCCAAAGAATTGTTATGCACGCAAATGATGTCTTTGCGTCGATCGCACAAGAAATCCAAAAATGTGAAGGCGACGCACGAACAGTTGAGGCATTTACGTTTATTGTTTGGTATTCATGAAGTGGCCACTAGAAGCGAAGAGCAGAAATTTTCTTTACGCGGACAATGACTGTCGATTGACCTTCGACAGAACTGTTATTAATAAATGTGTTTTTCTTTTCTACTATTTTCTCTTTCACTTGAACTAACATTCGATTGAATGCAGTTTGTCCATTCGTCGGTTTACCCATTCGCGTCGTCATACTACGAACATTGCTGCCACAGTTGGCTGCGGTTGAAAAAATAAAGAGCGGAAAATTGATGACTGTGTTTAATAAACGCTCATTAAATATGAAATGTCATTCACATCGTCTCCGTGTGAGTTTTTGAACTTTTATATTCACATGTGACGCAATCCGCTGGGATTTTCCGCATTCGCCATTGAATAGCGGTAACAAAGACGCGCACTCATCTTGCAAGAGAACACATCTCTTGTTGACACTTGGACTCAATTCATTCTTATACCGTAGAATCATGGTGTGCGGCGTTGATTTCCGTCTTCATTTATTCATTCGTTCGCATCATTTGTAGTGGTTACTCATCCAAAGCAGAGTAGCAAAAATGCAACAAAAAAAAGAGTAAAACACACATACTTCCTATCTAATCGCCCATTAGGCATTGCTACGCACTGCGCAAAAATGTCGAAAGAATGCCGAAAACAAAACGCAATGCATGTACAAACAATGTTTCTTTCAAATATATACGCTATCCAAATCTGTTTAAAGTGTTTGTTTTGGGCTTGAAATTCAAAAGAAACAAGTGAAGAAGGAGAAGGAAAAAAGAAGTTGTGTATTGTCGCACACCCTCGACACACGACGAAATTCATATGATACAAGCACGGTTCCACTTGCCACTTTAACATGATTGAATGTTACTTCATCTTCACTCACTCACTCTCTCTCTCTCTCTCTCTCTCTCCCTGTCTCATTGCTATTTTTAAACCGCGTTTGTGTGTTTTTTTCCCTCTTCTCAATGCGAAATGCACGGCCGCCGAATGCAACATGATTTGAAATTGTTAAGGCTTTTTTTGTCGTCGTCGCCGTTTGTTGTTGTCTCAGGCAGCAGCACGTCTGCTCATTATTATTATTGATCATTGTTACGTCGCATTGCATTGTCATTCAGTGTCTCTTTCTCTCTCTCTCTCTCTCTCTATTTTTTCCCTCTCGTAAACATTCATTGAAATGGAAAAAAAGAAGCACACAAATACATAGAGTATATTGAAAACACTGCAGCAAATTAATCAATCATTTTGCTTATTCATTTGTACGATAATCGTAATTTGTATTGAATTTGCGTCGCCCAATGACTATGAGACGATGTTATTTATTGTTTATTTTAGCGTACGCTTCGGTATTCCATTACACATACTCGGTTCGTTTTTCATCGTCGTCGTCATATTTTATTTTCATTCGATCAAGTACAATTTTGGTTTTGATGATGGCAATATTATCAAATTGATTCGATTTTGAGCAATGAAACAGACATATCGGCCCTAAATTATCGACCGGCACATATATCACACACAGCTCAGTATACCTCAGCATTCGATTGATTAAAACAGGTCATGATGCACTCATTGTCATACACATTCGATTAAATAATCAATTCCAAAATTTCAATGAAAAAAAAAAACGTTTCGATCGCGTTTTTTCTTCTTCTCCTTTTGTATTCTATTGCACACCTTTTTTAATTTGTCGTTATTCTATTTTCGACTTCATTTATCAATGTTAGGTCGAGTTTTGTATTTCAAGTCTGTGATCTCTAACCCGAATTCACCATGAACGGAATACAATTTCGCCATACGCCGTCCGTTTTTTTCTTTTTCGTTCATTCGTTCAGTTTGTCCGTTCTGCTTTATTTATTTGAAGGAAATGAAAGCCAGCAATTTCGTTGTGTCATTACGTAAAGACTGCGAAATGAAAATTATTTAACAAGATGCTGTTTTTAATTTTTCGTTTAAATGAGCGCTTATTCGACGATAATCATATCATGTTCATTGAACCGTACAACACACAAACTTTGCACAATCCTCATTCTGGAACAAAATTCATTCCATTTTCAATTCTGGCACATGTTTTTCCTCTGATTCGAAGTTTAGTTTGTATGTTGCGCGATATGAAGTGGCAAAGATTGCGCGAGCCGTGTAATCTTGCACAGGAAAGTATTATATTATGAAAAAAAACAAACCATGTTTCAAAACGTACAGAACGAAAGCAAAAACAACGAAAATCAACAGCAAGAAATGCGAACTGAAAAAAAAACTCTCTCATTACGTGCTATTTGCCATAAACATATATCAACATTGGTCACTGCCCCTTTCGAACTTTGCACTTCGATAAACTCCGTCTCATCGTAGGCTTTGCTATTGATCGATGAAATGTAATATGCATAAAACAACTAACATAATTTTTGTCTTATTTTTCTTCTGCAGAATATTGACGGGATCGAATTGAACCATTAGAAATTTGAATCGGTTGAGAATTTCGAGAAAAAAAAACAGATACACAAAAATGTCTGCGCAAATTGTAACCGTGAAATATAATGAAAATAATGTGCCCTACATCAGCCTGGGTGCGCATGAAATTCGTTTGGAGAGTGAACAGCCGACGGAAGCGGTGTTGGAAAAGGCTCGAGTTGAACTCCGAGAGCAGCCAGAAATTACCGGTCCAGCAATTGCCGAACTGCGTGAAATGTTGAAAGGTGAGTTTAACCAGCGCACTAAAGCGGGAAATTCCCGTATGGGTCTTATGACGACAATTGCATACCGTCAGATGTGCTAATTTAGTGTCTCCTAATTGATTTTAATACACAACTTGAAGATCGGATGCGGCCGGATTTTTTTTTATCAATGAATGCGGATTTTGAATGTTTTCGATGCAGACCGATGCGATAAGAGATACGTCACACTGTTTATCCTCCCCCCATGGCTATTTCGGTCAAATGAGTCACTTTGGCCAACCGATGGAACTGTCCGGCGATGCGTTAAATTGTGTGCATGAAATGAAATCGCTAGATATCACGTGTTCAGCAAATATCTCAGTCCACTTCGACTGTTCAATCGGTTTCGATATGCGCGCGCGTGTGTGGTTTATATTGTGCTGAGCTAACATGAAAAAAAGCTCGTTTCAAATTATAGAATGAAAAAAACCTGATTTTCTCTCATTTATTTCGCGTTCGTTCTATTGAACGCTTGTCATATGTTTACAGTACAGCGAGCTATGTTCGTTTCTTTCGTCTTATATCGTCGTCGTCGTCGTCGTCGTCGTCGTCGTTGCTGCCATCGTCTGTTTTTCTTTGTTGTTGTTAGTGTTGCTGTTGAATTGTGACATTGAAAATGTTTTAATAGATGATATTTAAAAGTTTATAGACGCGCGGTTTTCTGAAACGTTGATCAGCTCGTCAGAATCAACTGTATTGTGTTCGTATGGCACAATTGAATGATGAAATAATAAGCGGTAGGTGTCATAAACAAACCCCAAAACAGAAAATACTGTGAGAGACTCTTCTCATACACCTCAACTACTTGCAAATGATTTTCATCTCAAAGTTATGATGCGCGATTATTATTTCACAAGCTGAAGCGAAAGAGAATAGAAAATAAAGTTGAATTTAACGACGTCATTCCAAACACATTGTTCATCACAATTTGCAAATGATTATTTTCTCCATTATTTCGCCCGAATATTTCGATGCTGCTTTGTTCGCATGACGAGAGCACACGCAAAGTGTGATGAGAATTCACTTTTGTTTCCATTCGCTATAGCATCGTCACGCTAATTCAGTTATTGACTAGCGTGTGCTAACTGCTGAAACCATTGTAATTAAAATCCCATCGCAACGAACCAACAACATTGAATCATGCAAACCTGACTTGGCCAAATTGCTTTAACTCGAAAACTAAAGTTCAGATTAGAACAAATTATTATCTTTTTCTCTGCACGTTTAGCGATAGAAATCATACTGAAATTAAAAGTGAGAAAGGAATTTTCTTGTTCACCACTTTTTAGCACTTATTAAAAGTTTAAGTTAATGTTTATAATTTGTTTTTGTTTGTTTTCATTGGATATTTTCACAGGTGAGAAGACGCTTCATGTCCCAACCGACGATGAATTCCTGAAAATGTATCTCAGACCATGCAAATATTATCCAAAGAGCGCATTCGATCGTGTAAGTTGTGCGACACCATTGATCTACAAATTATTCGCTAACGTCACACCTGATTGACCTTCTTTCATTTTTTTTTGTTCTGACCATTTTCTATCTTTAGATCAAGACATTCTTTAAACTCAAACAAAAACATCCCGAATTGTATGAAGACCTTTATCCAAATTCAGTTATTCACGTTTACGAGCAAGAACTCGTTAAATTGGTTCCAACACGCGACCGAAACGGTTCTCGTATTCTGGTCATTCAATGCGGAAGTAAGTGCAGCATCGATTATTTATTCATTTGATAAGTACAAAGGTTAATAACAAAAATAATCCGTAGAAAAATGGAAGCCAAGCAAATGCTCACTGAACGATTTGTTCCGTGCAATTCAAGTGGCAATTGCCGCATCAATGCTCGAACCAACCACACAAATTTGCGGTGGATGCGTCATTTTGGACTTTGACGGTCTGTCGTTGAGCCATATCATGCAATTTACACCATCATTTGCAGCACTTGTTCTTACATGGGTTCAGGTAAGGAAATCAACATTTGAAAGTCACACAGACGGAAATCATAAAGAAAAAACAAATTATCCATATCTTGATCAATTAACAAATAAATGGATCTAATTTTCCTAGGATTCCTTGTCATTGCGATTGAAATCTGTGCATATTGTCAACAATTCGTACTTGTTCAACATGCTATTTGCTATCTTCAAACCATTCATTCGAGAAAAATTGCGCAAACGTGTAAGTGGACAATTGACATTTTTATTGACCTAGCCGTTGACCGTTAACTATTATACTAGAATTTTTTTTTATAATGGCTTTTTGGCTAGACACAGATTTTTTTAAGTCACAAATTTTAACGATCTTCATAAGAATAGAAAAGGAAATTGTCGTTGGATGATTAGAAAAAATTCGCTTGTCTTTTTTCGCATCATTTTACCCGTAAAATTCCATTTGCTGCTTATTTTTACTCATTTTCTTTCCAATTTTTGGCCAATTTTTTTTCTTCAAAAACCTTTTATTTTTCCTACTGCAAAAAAAAGCTGGAAAAAAATCGAATTTTACTTATGAAAAACCTATTTCGTCTCGTTTTCAGATTCATTTCCATGGCAGAGATATGTCATCGTTGCATCGTCACTTTGATGTCGAGTGTCTTCCAAGCATGTATGGAGGAAAAGTTGATATTCCCGACGGTACTGGCGTTGCATTGGGCGATCTATTCCGATTGTATTCAAAGGAATTCGAAAGTATGTGCACTTCTCAAACCATGCAATCATATTTCAAATAGCATTTTTAGTACTTACTTTTATTATCTATATCTCTGTCTTACCTTGACCATAATTTTGTTTTTATCTTCTTTCAAATTCCAGTGGCAAATTCATTTGGCTATGATTCACCGGCTCGTAATTCACTGTAAACATTTCATGACATCGTAAAATCTGTGATAGAATTTAGAAACACAACAATATATCCATTGAAACGTTCCCAAGGAGAAATGACGAAAAACGACGACGAATTTTTTTGATGTTTATCAAAGAATTAGTCCGACAACCATTGAGAGAGAAAAAGTGTGAAGAAAGACTATGACAACCAACGAGAAAAGACCCTATTCCAAAAAAAAAACTTACATATTTTTACTATACACGTACTTTATATAAAGATAAGGGAAATATTTTTTTTAGATTTTTAAGTCCTTTCTACTTTTCTTTTTATTATTCTTGATTTGAAATTTTTCTTTTGTTCTTTTCTGTTAGTAATCAATCGAAACGATTAGTTTCGAATTATTTATGTGTGTTGATTGAATTAATCATCATTGCATTGCTACGATTGGTGTTTTCAAAGAAATTTTAGGAAAGAGAATTATTTAAAAATCTTTTTATTCATAACGAATTATGATAATGGAATAAAATTGCAAAAAAAAAAAACATAAATCAAAGAGAGTTATTTGTTCTTGAATTATATGTTCCCCTTGACCCTTAGCACTTACCTCATTAGCAGTGCTAATTTGCTACTGTTGGTGACGTCGCTGGAATAGGTTGAAAAGTCATATCGAGAAGAGAAGAGAAGAACAAAAAGAAAATACGACGGCTCAATGCTTTAAAATTTGATTTTTATTGTTCATGTGGTCCTTGATCTATTCAATTATTTCCATTTTGTTGTTGTTGTTTTGTAATTTTTTTTCCACGTGATATACAACACAGAAGTATAAAAAAAGATTTTATCATTGGATTTTACAAGCGAGAATATCTGTCTGTCGCTTTCAGTGTTACTTACGCTCTTATCGATTCTTATTTTTTTTTACTTGCTAATCAGTAACTCTTGTTGTGTCCATGAAATTTTTTCTGTTCTCAATTCTCTTCTCTCTTTTTGTTGTGTGTTTGTGTGAGTGTGTTTAATTAATCTGGCTTTAACACTTTTAATTCGATACGTACAAATAGACATAGATTTATTATTTAGATACGTGCGTCAATCGCGTAAATAAAAGTAAAAACCAATTATACAATGATGAAAAAAATAATAATAATAATAATGATACACCTTAATCTTAAATGCTAATTCAATTGTGTACAAAATAAAGCAAATTATCGATTTATGAAAACGATTAGCTGCAAGACTTCAATATAAAAAAAAATTACATACTTGATCTCTTTTTTGTTGTTGTTTTCGAAATTACAGGAAATAAAGGGAGAAATAATTCCTCGTCATATGGAATATATATATATTTGTTTTAAATGTTCGTGTGTGTGTATGTGTTTGTGATTATTTTTTTTCTGCTGTTGTTGCTACTTTCACGATTTTTCCATTTTTTTCTGCGATTTTGTTCGCTGTTTTCCAATGTTTTTTCATTTGTTTTAAATCGTAGGCAAATACATTGACCTTGTATGAAATATCTTCTACGCGAAAATAAAACAAAATGATTTACTTTATACTTTGTACTTCATGGAGAGTTGCAATGAAAGAGAAACAGTCAAGCACTGAATTTTTCACCCGGTTTTGTCCACATTGCATTGGCGTAACTGTTCGTGTATGTGTGTGTTTCGGTTCCACAATGAATCAAGGGGGGTGTCGGTGTGTCTGTGTGAGGGATTTCGAGTGCATCTTATTGCTAATGAGTGGTGATTGTATGATTAGAGTGATTGGTTTGTGAGTGTGTGTGTATGTCTTGGTGGACTGTTTGATTCTTTTTCGAATGCACGCTGAGCGCCGTTTTATGCGATGGTCTACATTCTGCATGTTAGCACTCGATTTCATTCGAACATGGTCAGTTGGTCAATGAATGTGACAGTAATTGTCCAATTTTTTTTTTTGTAAATTCTTTTTCATTTTTTGTTTTATTTTGAGTCTGCTATCACAGATATGTTGATTCGCCTGCACGATGTATGTGAATGTGTGTGTGTGTGTGTGTGTAAAATTGTGTGTGATTGAAGGATGTGTGACGTGAAACGAACACAAGTGCAAGGATTTTGGGTTAGGAAGAAAAAAAGAAAAGAGAAGAAAAAAACAAAAAACAAAATTAAATTGAAAATCAAAATGGTTGAAAAAAAAAATCAATGAATATATGAAATGAGTGTAATGACTGATAATATTTGTTGTTGTTATTTTGACCGCTATCACTTGTGTTATCCTTATCGATTAGAATTATTACACTACTAACTACGAAGATGAAGAGCTACGAAATTTAATCTACAGATTAGAAAAAAGCCTTCGAAACTAAAGACACTTTTGCAATGCTTTCTCTCGATCTCTTCTTCTCATTTCGTTTTGTCGACCATTATGTTGAAACAGATAAAAATGTTAGAACATTTTTAAGTACGTTAACTAAATGTCTTTCTTACGGCTTTTGGTAAGCATGTGAGCCAATGACATCGGATGATTTCGTTCTACTCTCTCTCTCTCAGTCTATTTATGTTCCTCGGGATAAAATTTATCCCGGGGTATAAAATGCAATTTATACCGAGGGATAAAAATCGCAACTTATCCCTCGGACAAAAATTCATGCTGAACATATGAAAAATAAATCTTTTAATAGTTCTCGTTGTATGTAAATGAAAGAAGAAGTGGTTTTCTTGTAAAAAATTCATAATACAGATGCATGTGATGTTAGACTGGTCCAGAAATTTTTTTTCCTGAGATATTCATATAAATTTCGAAAATTGGCCTCAAAAAAATAAGTTTGACATCAAAAACTTGGAAAACGTAGAAAAAAACCACTTTCCAAAGAGTTATCTATTTTTTCATTCCACTCGTTTCGGAAGCCATTTTAGATCGCAACATTTGGACCAAAATAATTTTTCCAAACGACTTTCGGCAAAAACTGATGATAGGGTTTTGTTTGGCTCGTCAATATATATAAATTTTGCCAAGACATTAGCCCATGAAAATGCATTCTGGGCCAATTACAGTGTGAAATGACCAAAAAAAATTCAAATTTTCGGCATTTTTTACATTTGACCCATATAAGTCATCCAGATGGTAGACTTTTGTTCAGTCTTTGACTTGTATCGTTTAGCCAGAACCTGTACAAATATTTGGTTAGTTGTCAGATTGTGATTTGGATGGAATTTGGCGTCAATTGACCCAGACATAAAAGACCAATTTCAGACCAAAATGAGCAAATCACGAACTTGAGCTTCGGTTTGACAGATAAAAGCAAGCGATTTCTATCTTTTCTGCCTTTGAACATCTAGTATAATCCTTTATGAACATTTTGGATACTTACACGACCAAATCGAGTCATGTTTTCACATAGCTCTACCCTCATATTCGATTGGTTCGATTCCAACTTTCAAAAAAATCGATTTTTCATCGAAAAATCCCTAAGTTTAGGCTTTTTGAGATTATAGCTGTGCTCACGATTTTTTTTTATCAAGATATCGTAATAAACTAAAAATATCGTTCGATATCGTCATTATGATGGAATCTTAATAACGCTATCAACTTTTTATCAGGATATTAACTATATTCAAATAATAACGTTATCGGATGAATCTTAATAATATCTTTTGGAAGTTATCAAGATCGAATCCTGATAATATATCAACATTCAATCTTAATAATCTTAATCATCAAGTTCTGGAAGTGGGTTTTGGTGGATCCTCAGGATCGACCAGAACTGCTCCCAGTTCTGGAAGTGGATCTTCAGGATGGACCAGATCCGGTTTGACACTGCCCTTGGCCCATACGAAATGCTGAGATGCTCAGCCATCGGAAAACACATGTTTGATGTCGTCTAATTATGTTTATTAGTTTATTGGGAATTCGCATTGAAATGTTATAACCGAAGTAGAAGTTCAAGGAAATTTCAGATAAAATTATTGGGCCAAAACCAAACTTGTGCAAATGCGATCAGCATGAAACTATCGGAATCTCATTTTTTCGCCGAAAAATGAAATGCGAGAAAGTTTGAAGCTATTCGGAAGGGGGGTTTACGGGTACCACCCATACAAAATTGTCAAAAATTTGCTAAAAATGATCAAAAATCGATGTGAAATCGATTTAGTATTGTTTATAATAAATATGGTAAAAAATACGATAGCAGCGAGTAAAAAGTGTATATTCCATCAGAAATGACTAAAATGAATTGTTCGAGGCGATATACATGATGCGCCAGGTCCCAATCAAAGGTTTTTGCACAGTTCTGGTTGGAATGTTCTTTTCCCATGATTCTGAAACAAATAGGCTATTTGCTCCCAAAATACGTCAACTTTTGTCGAAAGAGGCGCAGTCTATTCATTGAGCACTATTGTGATCTCTTTCTGCCTTACCGACAACTTCTATAATATGCGTCTTTTTCATCTGACTCCTACATGCTGTTGTAGTTGTCTGCGTGTGTCCAATCACCCCGTATTTGTATGGAATTGGAGAGATAATCGCGCGAATGCCGTTAGTCAGCGCCATCTCATATCTCGTCGGCCAACTCAATTTAGATTTTTTGCATTCATTTTATTATATTTAATAATAAAAATGATAAAAATAAATAAATGATGTGAAGGGCCAATAATGATAATATGTACCTTAAAAACATAATCCTCATAAAAAAATATAAAAAAATTTGTTCATAAAGAGAAACACTCAAATCATTCTCTCCACGTCTTCATTTCATTCTCTCCACATGTTGTTTGTAATACGAATAGCCGTAATTGTAGAACGGAATGAGAGATGGCGCATAAAACGGCCATCATTTTAGCTATACAAGGGAATCTTACATGATTGCGTGTGTCACTCACACATTTCACGAATGAAAAGGCGAAAATAAAGAATGCAATTGATGTAGTAGCACATGAATTGTCAATGCGGCAGATAGAGTGATCACAATATTGTCTAATGTGCAAAACTGTCAACAAATGTATTGACGGTTATAAAATATGAGCCGAATGTTCAATTTGGTAAAGTACTAATACGACAAAATCGTACAAAATCGTTTAAGAACACTTTTTCCCAACCTTTTTCAACTTTTCTGGACGTTTCTAAACGTGTCATAAGTGTTGGTATGATTAGAAATGATATCTGTTTCTGATCGATCTGACACCTCCGGGATAAATATTTACGACCATGTCCCGACATGGTCGTAAATTTCCGAGGGATAACTCTTATCCCGAGGGATAAATATAATATCGGTATAAATTTTATCCCCAGGTGGTATAAATTTTATACCTTGGATATAAAATCCAAGCAAAAGAACCTGAGTAATGAAAAAAATAACGAACTAAATGTCAGAGAGCTTGAAAATCATCTCTATTTAACAGTATTGTTAGCCTGATCAAATTTTTGAAGTAAAAAATATTTATCCCTGTCAACATAAATTGATTTTATACCAAATCGGACAAAAATTTTATACCTCGGGATAAATTTTATCCCGAGGA